TGGGTGAGAGTGTGTGTGTGTGTTTCTCCCCTCCCCCCTCTGTCTTGGAATGGAGATTCTATCTTCATAAGCTTGTATTTATAAGCTTGGTTGACCGGATTATTTTTCCCTGTACAAAGAAAAGTTGTTTTCCCAGTATTTAATTTCTTCTACTGTCTCAGTTCCCTCCCTCTTTTCTCCTGTCTCTAATGAGTAATGCATGCCTTTGTCAAAGGAGGAGGTAAACTAGTGGCACTGGCCATGATTTAACTGCTTTCCTCCGTGTTTGCTTCACCCAGATTTACATGACGAAAGCTTGGAACATGTGTACTCTGCCAGGAGGACACTGGACCCTTTTATTGTTTTTATTTGTATATGACTGTACAGATGGTCAGTGATGCTGGGGAAAGTAAATACTTATCTGAAATGAACGCATACATTGTCTGGGTTTCTGAACAGTGCCCAAACAACTTGTCTTATATTTTTAAGACGTACGTTCAGAGTTAAATGCCCTACACATTGAAAAAAGAGAAAAGGCAGAATCAGACCAATGCCAGGCCTGCCTTCTGCTTTGTACTGCTGCTAAATTGTCTTTATCCAGAGAACTGCCTGTGAACTGTGGCTTTCTGAACAACAGCATGAGAGCATTAAAAAGATCCTATATTACATGGCGTTCATAGGAACAGAATTGCTAGAATGGGATCAGACGCATCAGATATCTAGTGTGATATCATGTCTCTGGCTGTGGCCAGAATCAGACACTTCAGAGGAGGGCATAAGAAACCTTGCATTAGCAGGTTTAACAGGTACCCCCACATTAGGTCTCTTTCTAATCCATGAAGATTGGTCTCACCCCAGAAGAATAAGGATCAATAGCACTTCTGGAATATGCATCTGACTATGCTAGTTGCCCATTAAAATCCAATCCCTTTCTGAATCTTGCTAAGCCTTTGGCCCCATGGCTTCCTGTGGCAGTGAATTCTATAGTTCAACTCTGTTGTGTGAAAAAGTCTTTTCTTTTTAATATATTTTTAACTTTACATCTTTAATTGCATTGAACCTTCGCTGGTTCCTGTGTTATGAAACAGAATGAACACAAGCTCTTGATTTGCCTTCCTTCTCCCATTTATTATATTATAGTTACACATTTTCTCTTCTCAAGCTCCTTTCTATAGTAAACAATTCCCTATGTCTTGGGATCTTTTAGTTTTATGTCTTGTGAAAGTTTATCTGAGCCCCTAATCATACTCTTCATCTACCTCTGTGGGTGGTGCGGGTACTAAGGGCATCTTTACACATGTTCTGGGGTGGAGGGGCGGGGGCACTTTAATTAGAGTGGCTCTGAGAGCCGTTCTAATTAAAGTCCCTGCAGTGTCACACGTATTCAGCATCCCATGCTTCAAAATGGTGGTGGGGGCACTTTAAGTAAAGTTTGTTTTTATGTGTTAGTTAAACCGCCCTTGCTATCATTTTAAAGCATGGGGATGCTGAATACACATGATGCAGAGGCTGCTGGAGTGTGCTAATTAGCACGTTTCAGCAGACTCGATTAATTGAGTCTGCTCTGACACGTGCTAATTATAACACGTCAGCAGACATCTGGCACGTGTATAGGTGCCCTAAGGTGCATGGTTGACAGTCCAGAGGTTGCAGCATGGCCCTGTCAGATTCCAATTGATCTGTGAATTCTGCTAAATACTTTGTTGCAAGGACATAGAAAAGGGAAGGAGCTCTCTACTTCTGCAATATCCTTTTGGAGATGGATTTCCTAGTACTGAAAATATTGTTCTAGATAAGACCTCACTACTGATTTATATAATGGCATTATATAGTTGCATATTTCAGCAATGTAGAACTAGAAGGATTCTTGGGTTATTGAATCCTAACCCCTGCAATGATGTCATATCCATCCAAAGAGGGTGTGAAAGTAATTAATGAAAATATTGAATAAGATTGATCTTTGTGTAACTCCACTAGTGACCTTCCTCCAACCCAATCTTTCTCCATTCAACATGACCTGTTGCCATTTCCCCTTTAGCCAGAGCCAGAGCCTCATCCATTTTACACTTTTTGTTCTCCAGTTAAATGAATAATTTCCCATTTGGCACTTTATCAAACATTTTACAGAACTCCAGATGGATTCGGTGTGATGCACTTGCTTCATCTAAAAAAATGAGTTTTCTTATCAAGTTACTGCCACTCAGTCTACTTTTGCGAAACCCCTGTTGCATCCCTTTGTTCCATTTACCAACATACCTTCAGTTATCTTTCCTTCAAAATGTTGTCTAAAGCCCTGAATACTGATGAAGCCAGAATAATGAGTTTATAATTGCCTGGGTCACTTCTTTTCCCCTCTCTTAAGGATGGGGTACTATTTTTGCTAATCTGAAATAATCTAGTACCACCACCAGCTTGATAGGTTTATTAAAGAAACATTCCAAGAGATCTGTTACTTCATATGCCGGTTCTTTCAGAATGCTGTGGTGGAGATTATCTGGTTCATTTGGCTTGAGGGCGTTGAGTTCTCTGAGTTTGTCTCAGCATCTTTTTGTCCCCACAATTACTATCATTATCTTTATTGAAAACTGAAGCAAAGTAGTTACTTAATCTTGGGGGCTTGATCCTTAATCTGTACCACATCCTTACTGCATAGGAGGCCCGCTTCTTTCCTGTTCTCTCTTTGTTTATATGGCGGAGGAACCTTTGCTATTGGTTTTAATTTCCTTTACTAGGTCTAACTTGGTTTGGGTTTTGGCAGTTTTGCAGTCTATCATATCAGACAGACAGTGCTACCTTACCACCTTTTATCTTTTATTTGTCGTATCTGCATAGTGTATGCCCTTCAATATTTGTGGGCCTGTCATGATTGCAATTACATCCTGTTTTAATTACCATCACAATATATATTTTGCACCAGCAATTCTTTGGTTGAAGTCAGAGGTGTGAACCAGGGTTTGCAGATTCGAGGAAGCTGACGGGCTGCTGCGGTCCCCGAACAGGGGTCAGCAAGACTAAAGTTAACATGCAACTGGAATATTGCTGGAATGCTCTAATGAGGCACACACCATGTGCAGATGTGGAGGAAACTTTCAGACTAGAGAACATATACTGGCCTGCCCACGTATGGGGGAACCATGCACCAACAAGGATCACACTAAGGCTACAGAGTGATAGCATGTGTCCATTTTTGGATTCAAATTTGATCATGGTGACCGGGCACAAGCCGAAGACAACCGGCTGCTCTAGTTCTTCTATACTGATGCTCAGGCTCCTTGCATTACTACATGTCAGTTCTCTTAACTGAAATATTTGTCTTTTCACTAGGGGTATTACCTACCTGACTCTCATCAACATTGGTACTTTTCTTGTTCTCTATCCTGCAACCTTCGGATATTCCTTTAGCCCAGTGATTTTCAACTAGGGTGGTATGGCAGTCTGGAGTGCTGTGAGATCCTTGCAAGGGTTTCACAAAATACCACTCAATATTAGCACTTCAGGGTGTGCAAACACCTACACGATTCACAAGATAAACCCAGAGATTTCAAATCGGAATCCAGTGCATCAAAAACATTCTAACCTGTTGTGAGAATAATTTAGCCTCGTCTTTCTGAGTCTTGGCTCTATTTTTCTGTTGCCAAGAAACAAGTGGAAAGCTAAGAGCTGGTATTTTCTGAGGGGTGCCTTGACTCTACTGAGGGTGCCTTGATGTGAAAAAGGTTAAGAACCACTGCTTTAGCCAGTGCTTGTTTATCTGATTTTCCCCTTCCTATGTATTAAAACTAGGTGTGGAGATTATACAACTCTCAATCAATTCCCTCTCTTCCCTTTATTTCTTGGCTTTAAACCCTGTCAGTTGTGCCAGCCTTAGTCCTAGGATAATGTCCCAGGTACTCGGGGTGAGGGGAAGTCCATCCATCAAGAGCCTTCTTCCATGAATGTTTCCCAATGGTAGGAACCTTTCTTGTAGTACCAGTCCTCAAGCCATTTGTCGTTCACAGATTATTCTCCATCCCATTCTTCACAAGCCTATCTTGCTTCCTTTTTGAAGGCAGCCACACTTTGAGTCTTTCTGTAGCTACCTGTAAGACCAGGACTCTTCAGCATGGGTATACAGAATTCCCTTGGCACCTTAAGATTATGGAAACAGCTGTGCTAGTTTGCTCTGACATATGTTATACTATGCTTCGTTTTCCTGAAGTTTTTACAGTCATCCACTTGTTCCTATTGAGATCTGCTGGGCGAGGATTTTTGGAGCTGGATATACTTGCACATATGGAGGACAAGCCCCAGCCAGGTGCTATGGGGAGCTGGATAGCATCTGATGAAGAGAACTTGGGTTCATAAACGCATGTGCGCCATCTCTTAGTCAGCTCACAAGGGTGCATCTCTGCCCTGCTTTCTGAGACGACGACAGAGCCGAGCGTGTGGCAGCCCTGGCTCAGGTCCAAATGCCCCGGTGGACGGGCGAGTACAATTTTAGGTGGCTTGTGTGGAGTTTGGCTCCGACACCCTCCTGGGGCAGCACCATCTTCACACGTCAGGGCTGTCCAACAGCAGCCCAAGTGTGACCTGCTCGGGGGCATGTTGCGGTACCGCTGCTGCCAGGGCAGGTGCAGTCTTTAGGCAGCCCGTCCCTCCTCTGGCTCCTGTCTGCTGCCCCCAGGGCCCGGGGACAGAGGGCGAGGCCGGACTGTGAAGGGACGCGTGGTGGTGGGGCAGGCGCCTATGCGGTGGGTGGCCCCGGGCTTGATGCGGCCTGTGACAGACCGCGGAAGATGGCAGCGCTGCCCGCACCCCCGCCCCAGTCAACGGCTGGCGCGTAG